AGTTCGACGATCTTGACGGCTGCCCGGACATGTGCGTCTAGGAGTAAAAATATCTCGAGTACGGTTTTGAGAAGAAGCTCTGATCGTGGGATCAGCTCCGACTACGTTGCCCATTAAATGCTCTTAAGTACCACTTACTTGCAATACTACTTTCAGTTACACGTTGCTTACTTTCACGTCGCCTTTAACCTGCAGTCTATCCGATGCCTGGAATTTTTTCAGCTTCCGCGCTATTCTGATTGTTCAGAAAATTCTGGTCGAAAGTTGAGGAAGATCTTACTAGATTCATTTATAACATTTGTGACATTTACGCGAAGACGAATACGTACCAACGAGACGAATGAGACAGATAATTTCAGCTAAATGTAACAAGAGTGAGAAAAGAGCATCTGGTTCAGACGTTGTCCCGTCGAAACAAAGTTTATTTCATGTTTCAAAGGTTCGTTGTCTGTGACAAAGGTCCGACGTTGTCGCAATGGAATTTGATTCGATTCGTTCTTCGTTCTACATAGGCTGATACCTACTTCCTTTGCATCACGTGTTTCTATGTCTGTTTCAAATACATACGTTCGTTGCTTCGAAAGCAGAGGACCAAGGAAGAGAAGGAATGAGAGGAACAAGGTCCGGGGTTACATATTTCACGAACGATCGGCCTTCTTCCATCGAGTCGAGAAACGACTTTGCGACGCTGAAATATTGATATCAGCCTGGAAAACTCGGCTCGAGTTAACGGACAATAGAATTAGAAGGGGGGGAGGGGGACAGATGCTCCTCCTTCTCTTTTCTCTCTCTTTCTTTCCCCCTATCTTTTTTTTTCTCCTGCGTCATTCCAAACTACCAATCGTTTTCATCGTCGTTAACATCGTTGTTCTACATTATTAGGTTATGTCGCGTTTCTTTTCTATGCAAATGAAAGGCATATTTTTCACGAGAAAAACAAAAGCTTCGTCGATTATCTTTTGCCAACCTCAAAACTTTTTTTAGCTCGTATCTTTTTCGACAAAACAAATTTAATGAAATTTAGCGGAGCAATTCCGATACTTACCGAAGTTTCGATGCTTCTTTTAACCTCTTGCGCTGGCAACTGGTTCGCGGACCATAACGAGTGACCGAACCGTGTACAATAATTTGTCGCCCTCTTCTTTTTCTTTTTTTGAAGTCGTCGGTATGATATCACTGGATAGAAATTATTAAAAAGTAATAAACTTATCATTGGTTTTGCCTGCGTTACATTTAAACATGTTTAAAACTGAGAAAATGTTGCAATTTGTGACAAAAAATTCTCGACGTGCGTGGCACGTCATTCCAGCGCAAGAGATTAACGCCAAATACGTCAGATAATTTTTTCACGATCCTGCATTTCTCCTTTTTGGAGCAAAATACAACGAAAACGTTCACTTTCTGACTTTTCGATCCACTTTGAAGTCGATGCCGGGCAAACAATTGCTAACGCGCATTTTTTCCAGAACAAACTCGAACGATCGGGTATCGGATTACACAATGAATGTTTGCGGTTTAAAGTGAAGTTAGTTACACTTCAAGGTGTACGTGTCCATCTGTTTCGAGAAAAAAAAAAAGACGCAATTTTGGCCAAACCCCAAATATGTTATACAACAGAGGCTCTTTTCTTCTTTTTTTTCTTTCTCCTTTTCGCTTTTCTCCGCCGTTTTCAATGAGTTATGTAAACATTCGCTTCGAAACTGCGATCGTTCATACGAAACGCGTCAACGAAATTGGATACGTGACATATTGGAAAACATAAAGCGCCGACGCCATGACAGATTATTACGACGTCTCGTTTCTTTTCAAATCGGTCCTCCCGCCAAGAAAAATCGGCACCGGCGTGTCTACTTTTCTTTTTATATTTTTTGACGTTGCTCGTCCGAAAATATAGCTCCCAAACGACTGACAATTTTTCTCTATTCTCCGTCTTGTCAATCTTCATGCGTGTTTACGCTCGTCACGCAGTACCCTAACCTAGGCCCCAGATCGATACTTTCGAGAATGATGTCGGATTTGACGAATCCATCCATTGGAAGATACGAACGTTTCAGGGCAACTTTGACAGTACAATCGATAAATCAGTAGACAAAATAAATAAAATTGTGTTTCTTGAGCGTGTCTCTCGGCATCTCTGTGTCGTTATAACCTATAAAATTGTAATCCAGTGGTTCTCTACCGGGCAACCTAACCCAAACCTTTCTCCAAGCCATCTAAGTTTCATCTAAATTTATCTCTAAAATTCTGATGACACGTGTCACGTTACTGCGACGCGTAATTAAATATTACTCAAAAAGTGAATTTTTGACGAACTTCAAAGTTTAAACAAGCTTCTAAAAAACGTGACATCTTTCTTTGAAAGAAAAAAGACTTAAAGAATTAAATTTTCATTTCAAGAAAATTAAAAAGTTAAATTTTTTTCATTTAAAGAAAGAATTCGCTGTTAATAACTCGAATTAGTCCTCCTAGAAAATCAAATTCCTCCCCTCGCTGGGAGGGGTGGTGGGGGGCATGTTTGGGCCCCCTACGTTGAGAACCACGGTTGTTATCGATGGAAGCCAGATGAGCCTGAATCCTTGCCAGTACCAGTTGGCAATTAGTTTCTCTATTAACGCAAACGCCAATCAAGCTCGGTCCTTAATCGATACGATCGATTCTCGATTACCGGATTACCGGGGCAAGAGTTTCGATCGCGAAGAGTTTCGGAGCCCGGAGCTCGATAGTCGGCTAGATCGGCCATCCATCGCCATGCGTCGCCGTGTTGCTCTTGCTATTATATTTTCATTAGATTTCCACGCGAAAAAGAAAAAGTCGAGCGTGCCTATTATTACGGTAAATATCGATCTTTTTTTCCCTTATTTATCGCGCGCGATAAGCTCGATTCTACGTGTGTTCTCTCGTGTCGTAGAATCGCAGGATGTTCTTAGAGCACGATTAAAAAAAGACGGCGAGACTCGGGCAACTTTTGTTCACGTTTAACTCGGAAAGTACTCGTCGCGGAAAGTAGTATCTCCTTGGTACGTGAGCTTGATACGTACGTGAGCCTGATATTGCCATGTTTAATTAAAATGTTCCGTCTACCATTTCGAAAGCTCCCGTGGGAAGCTCGACCAATTTAAATTCTACGCTCGACACGGCAAAGTTACAGAGCGTACAGAGTCATCTCTAGTCACGATTGGACCAGATAGTCGAGTAGACAGCACACTCGAACTACTACGAGTAGGATCTCTCGTGAATTTTTCAACCGTCACTGTCCACCCGTGATAAAACCAGCGTTTGCAATTGGCATTTCGCGGCATGACGATTTGAAACAAGAAGAATGAAACAGAGGGCGGGGGGGGGGGGGCATGGGAAGGGATGAAATCTGTCGAAGGAAAAGGAATTACGAGACTTGATCGTGAGTGAAGCGCGTGCCAGGAGGTAAACGGGTAAAGAAGCAAGCGGCCCAGCTTGCCTGATGCTTCCGTGGGAGCAAAGTGGCGAACTAAATTTAACTCGTTAGCACCAGTCGGTGACTATCTTACAAGCGAGCCTGTCTTTATATTCGTTTGACACAAGGGAACTTTGTTAGCGCCGAAGGAACGTTTTTTCGATCGGTCGAAGAACCGAAAAGAGAAGAAGCTTTCTCGCGCAAACACCACTGTCGAATCTAATCTGGTTACTTTATTACCTCTCTTTTATCAGCCACCAACGAACTTTTCAAGGATAAAAGCTAAAGATGAAACAAAAAAAGAAAGAAATAGAGAAACTTTATATGATACAATGGAGTATACAAGCTTTTATTGTGTTTTACGAAAAATTATTCAAATCTTTAAAAGTACACTGTTTCTACGCCTGTGAATTGGACATTTTGACCACTTTGGTAGTTCTAACGTCAACACGAAATGAACGAATGAACTCCTTCGCTCTTTCCTTGAAATCTTGCTCGACAGATTTTGTTAAACTTTTCCAACGAAGGAACAACACACGTAACTCGTCGCTTCTCGACGAACGAACGAGTTATATTTGCAACTTTCGTTAATTATTTGATCCGTGTCGTATATGCACGTCACGGATATGCATACGTGTGCTGCATCACGCTTCAATTGACGAGATCGAACGTTGGTTGAAAAACTGAGAGCAAAAATGTGAAATACACTTTGAGAATTTGTTACTCGCGATTCGCACCATTCGCGTATGTCATTTAGTTGAATTTATTAGTAGCAAGAGGACCGTGACGTTTTTATACTCGATGATGATCGATCCACGCGCGGATAGACTGTGTAAACCAAAAAAGAGAAAAAGAAAGAAAAAAAAAAAAAAAAGAAAACTACGAAGTATACGTACACGAGTGTGTTAACGTTTAATTTAAAGGGAGCAGTAGATCAGTTCTGCGTAATGATTTCAGGCAAGTTCACGCGACCGTAGTGAAACAAGCACGCGCCCGAGAAACTCGCTCGTAGGTAGAGCTTTCTAGTATTTAGGCTCACTAAATATAGCGCGGCAGTCCATTACACGTAAATCCCAGACTCCCGGACTTGCCGAAACTCGACCGTTGCTCGTGTCCGCCCGCTCGATTTTTCTCGACTCGTTCGACTCGAAAAAACTGAAGGAAAGTTTATATCTAGGATAGTACTAGCGACAGCTAGTACCCTAGCGGAAGCAAATGTAAGATAAGAAATAAATGTAACGCAAGAGAAAAGGAATGAGAAGGGAAGGGCACTAATTGCAATTTACGTTCGAAATGTTTAGGTCACGGAGGGAGGTTCGAAAGAGCTCAGTGCCGTAGCATGCCGGCGAGCTGCAGCGGGTGGTGGGGCGTCTCTGAGAGAGCGCGTCGATCGGCGTCGTCAGGCGTCTACTTGGGCGTCTGTGTGGCGAGCCAGAGGCCAGAGAAGCGTGCCTACGCGAGTAGTGTAACAGGAAGAGGAGGCGGCGGCGGCGGCGGCGGCGGAGAAGGAGGCGGAGGAGGCGGAGGAGGCGGAGGAGGAGGAGGAGAAGGAGGAGGAGGAGGAGGAGGAGGAGGAGGAGGAGGAGAAGGAAGAGCCAGCGGCGGAAGTAAGCGAAAGCGAAGGAGAAGAAGGGGCAGAAGAAGAAGAAGAAGAGAAGAAAGCACGGCCGCGGCGGTGATCGAGGCGAGGAGAAGGGACCGATGAGCGCGGGGGGGGATGGGGGCTCGGGGTTGGGCCCCCCTGAGCTGCCGGGGGCCCAGCCGACTGCCGCGACCCCCCCCATCCTCGGGCAGCACCGGAACCCCACAACTGCCCAGGACGGACAGCCAGCTACCGCGCAATCACAGACGGGCCAGACTCTCGGGACCAGCACCGGTGGAGCCAAATCTGCCACCAAAAGGCCGGCTCGGAGGGGTGGCAAAGCGCCACCCGACAGACCGCTCAGGGCTCTCTTTTGTTTACCCCTTAAGAATCCCCTGCGCAAAATGTGCATCGACGTCGTCGAGTGGAAGTATCCTTTTTTTTGTTTTTCTCTTTGCAAAGTTTCCTTCGCGAAGAACGAACTCTTTTCGCGTTCGTTTTTTCAGGGTGAAGAGACAAATGAGCGAACGAAATTGGTGTAGTCAGTTTGCAGTCAATTTTTTTTTTCTTTTCTTTTTTCTTTTTGTCAACTCTCGAACGTGGTAAAAGATTGCTTTGAATTGGTTATCACGGTGCCACTTTGTTCTGATATAATACGGCCTCGGGTTGTTTTAGACGTTTAACCTCTTAGTTGTGGCGTCGCTCTTAAAAATGTGTATCTATATCGCGTCGCTGTGACGATTGTACTCGTCTGAAACGTAGAGCGTGCGCGCAGCTGTTGTTTTTAAAATTGAATTAAATTACAAAGATATGACACTAGCTTCTTTTTGAAATCAATAATTTTAATTAATAATAATCAATATCAATAGCAAGAAAATATTCAGAAAAGAACCAGTTAAATCTAGTTTCTAAAAATATTCTAAAACGTCTAAAATTTACAAATATGTTTCATTTCCCACAAATTTCGCCACAATTTAATTTAACAAATTGTAAATACTTTTTTTCGCGCGACGAGTACACTCGTCATTCACAACTAAGAGGTTAAAATACGTAGAAAAGTACGTACAGCTTGATATTTCAGCTCGCTTTCATTCGTCGATTGATCAGAACCAGCCACAACCATAGCCTTGCCTTTTGAAGTTTCTAGTCGCGAGAAGCGTATCGTGTTTGTTCCGAGAACGAAATAGGCCAATGGAAACGGGTGGAAACGCGCGCCGGAACTTGGACCGTGAACGTCAAACGTTCTTGTTGACAAACCTATTTTAGGGTACATTGTTGGAGTCTACCCGCTCTTTCAATTATTACGCGAAACGTACGTGTCACATGGTCGGAACGATACAGCGCGTTTCGAAAACAACAAACCTCGCTCCGTATTTTATTCTTTCTCCTTATTGGCATAATTCGACCAAACGAAGAACGAAGGGGCGAGGGGAAGTTTCATAACGTAAAGACGTAGCACAGCTTGTTTAGAGCTTTTCGTACCCTGTTTTGAGTTTGAGAAAGCTCTCAAAGACGCTGGCACATCCACGGAGGGAAGAAGGAGAGGAAAAAGTTCTCTCGCACAGCAGGCGATACGTTATTTTCATTTTCCTCAGCTAGACGTTCCGATGCAACTTTCCAGACCTTTCGAGTGGCTTATTCTCATGACGATATTCGCGAACTGCGTCGCCCTGGCAGTCTATACACCATACCCGTACGGCGATTCTAATTTGACCAACCAGTATTTGGTAAGTATCTTTGCTTTTCTCTCTCAGTCGGCGATTTCGCCCTTTTCTTTCTCCGCCGTTTTTTTTTTTTTTTTTACCAAGCAATTAACTACGATCAACGCACCTAGCAAGGCACCCGAGGCGACTCGCCATTTTCGTGCCTCTTTGCTGGAAATTTTAACGATCCGCGAGTCAAACAACTCGAACATCGGCGATCGGGACGTCGTTCGGATCGAGGAATTTCGACGAAGCTAATAATAGTGGAGATAATAGGAATAACAGAGAGTCCCGTTCGTCGAACCAACGCGAACTGGCCGGGTTATCGATAAATAAACACCAAGTGTTCAAGAGATAGGGTTGATGGCATGAAACTTATTCGAGGTGAAACTTCGATAATTGCTCAATCTTGCTAACATCGCATCGGCGTCCATCGTTCCCTTCTCCCTCCCCCTTCCCCCCCCCCCGGCCTCTCTCCTCGCGCTCTATTATCGGAAAATGTGACTCATATATAGGCCAGCGTGTACGCCGAACGATCGAACGCCGGAAAGACGACGTGACGCCGCCGAGTTTTTCACGAGCTGACTTCGAAAGTCAATTTGATCGGTTTCACTTTTCAAAAGGGGACACCCCCCTCTCCATCCATTTCGACTTGCCCGCGTCGACGTGCACGTGCGTATGTATACGTATCCATCTCGCACAGTGGCTCGCGAGGCTGTTCAATACGCTGCTATTTATAATATCGCGAATCGATTTTCTCCGTTGCGTACATTTTCTACGTTGGTAACACGGTAACGATCGTTGGCGATCAAAAAGAAAAAAAAAAAAAAAAAAAAGGAAGAAAAAGAGAAAATGGTGCGGCGAAGAAGAGGTAGAAAACGGGAAACGGTAACTGCGCCCGGTTCG